AAGTAAGATGGATATGGAATTGTGTAACATACCCTCATCAGCATGTAGTTGTAGTAAAATGTGGACCCTGTGATATTGGTGAAGTAAGATGGATATGGAATTGTGTAACATACCCTCATCAGCATGTAGTTGTAGTAAAATGTGGACCCTGTGATATTGGTGAAGTAAGATGGATATGGAATTGTGTCTCCATTTAGAAGGATATCAAACACCTGGAAGAATATTGGAATAGTAAGGACATATGTAGTAACGACTGTAATAATTAAAGTTAACCCAAATCAGGTTTTAATAAATATAAACATCTTGCTTAACACTAAAATTGCTAATAATATGCATTCATACATATAAGTATATACAAAAGTTCTAGCTATTTATAAACCATTAGAAAATTAAAAATTGCATAATATGCCAATACATTAAAGGCCTTGATCCACTGTTGCTGTTTAATATACTGAACGGCTTGGGCAGTGGCTCCATCTATGTATTTGCGCTGGCTTTCATCTGCCTGGCCAGTATTGAGCATGAAACTTCCTAGAGATGGCAGCATCTGGAACAACAATGCAATTTGCCTGAGAAGAATATAATATTGCTTAAAAATTAACATACATAAACATATATGTAACTTTATGAAATGGAAACTTCAAATTTATACATACAGTTTCTGGCTCACAGAGTCCGTCTCCAATGGCCATCCCTCTGAGGTAGATCTTGGTCTTTGCTGTGGGATTCATCATGTGGATCTTGTAGGTGATAGCTGGGACATATTTCCCTGCATACGACTGAAAGAACAGACCCACTGAAAACACCTCTCTCAACAAACATTTCAACAGAAAAAACACCATTTCCATGAAAGCTGGGATGGGACAAGCCAAAGCTGGAAAATGGAAGAAATCCCCTACACTTCCCATACCCTAATTTCTTATTTCATTGTTGACATCATACAAGACTTTCTAAACCCTAGATACCACTCTACAAAAAATGGTAGAATGGTGCTGACTTTACAAAAATCAAGCATGACTTCAGGACTCACTGCGAGTTTCTGATTCAAAAACTCACCTCTCCCGTTGCATAAAAGTCATTTTTCTGGAATTCTGGGAAAACTGTGAAAAACTGGATAAGTGCACTGAAAGAAATTTACCAATATGTTCAGTAGGAGACTACACCTTGTGTCTCATAAAATGTTAGATCACATCTAAAACTGAGCAGGCAAGTTTAAATTAGAACATAAAACAAATGGGAAAACTTACCTGTACAAGTTATCAGCTACATCCTCTTCATTGGTGGCATAGCCCTTGTCATCATCAGTAAAACTGAACCCAGTCCCTACCTAGAACACAACATATCAGAGATATCAGGACTAGCTGATTACCTACCTATCTCTTTAACACCCCACCTAGAACACAACATATCAGAAATATCAGGTGCAGTTGATTACCTACCTATCTCTTTAACACCCCACCTAGAACACAACATATCAGAGATATCAAGACTAGTTGATTATCTACCTATCTCTTTAACACCCCACCTAGAACACAACATATCAGAAATATCAAAACTAGTTGATTATCTACCTATCTCTTTAACACCCCACCTAGAACACAACATATCAGAAATATCAAAACTAGTTGATTATCTACCTATCTCTTTAATATCCTACCTAGAACACAACATATCAGAAATATCAAGACTAGTTGATTATCTACCTATCTCTTTAACATCCCACCTAGAACACAACATATCAGAAATATCAGTACTAGTTGATTATCTACCTATCTCTTTAACATCCTATCTAGAACACAACATATCAGAAATATCAAAACTAGTTGATTATCTACCTATCTCTTTAACACACCACCTAGAACACAACATATCAGAGATATCAAGACTAGCTGATTACCTACCTATCTCTTTAACATCCCACCTAGAACAAAACATATCAGAAATATCAAGACTAGTTGATTACCTACCTATGTTTATGACAGAGTGAGCAGCATAATATGATCTCTACTTACTGGGTTGTCTATGTACAGCATGGAGAACTTAGAAGTCCAGGTAAATTTTCTTGGATTCACTACAAAGATCAATGAATTTCAGTTAACCCTGATGGTACTCAAATATGTAAATCAATTTAAAATGCACATGAACTGAATAAAATATATAATTCAATATGTAGTTCTAGCTTCTAGACCATCACAAATAAAATCCATAAGTCAAGAAAACCAACTGAAAAAAAGACTGCATCATATTTATATTTATGGCACTTTTGTGTTTCCAGTCATTAAGGAAGAGTAAGTCAGCAGAAAATATCTGTGTAAACTGTCTTGTGGGAAATACGTAACAGAAATCTGTGGTGTTGCTCTATGTTCTACCATTTGCCTCTTTATGGTGCCATTTGGTCAGGCTTTGTGTCAATGATTAAACAGAAGTTCTCTCTCAGAGACATCCAAGCCAGAATTTTGAAAACAATATAAGGGCATGAATTGCTTTTTGTTGAACTTACCTGAGGGCAATTAAAACTAAAAAAAAAATTGACAGATTTATGTTTTGCAAAAAAAAACAAAAACAAAAATAAAAATAAATAAAAATAAAAAAAAACAAACAAACAAACAAACAAAATTAAAAAATCACCCTCCCCTTATCATCCTCAATAGTTTGCCATCTTGAGTTTGAAAATAATGCAGGTCACATCACAAGAATCTCACAATATCAAGAACATCAGTGACATGAAGAGGGTATCTGGGTAACTGAAAAACCCATGCGCAAGTGCTGGTTTTCATCTTTTGCTTTTTCCAAAAATGTTACAAAGTGATGGTAAGTAAAGGATGATTAGAGGTTGGTTAGTCTGGACAAGCAGCATTTACCTAAGAAAATTTATTTTTGTCAAGAACATCCTGGCTTGGAAAGCTTTAAAATGCATTTTTAGAGGTAGTTATTTTCTATGTGTATAAAATAATTTTCAACGGTGTTCAGTATACTCACATTTGAGATCAGCTGTCAAATAAAACGGGCCATGTTCATTAAACAACCCAAACAAAGATGTCCCTCCTGGGCCACCTTGTAACCATAGCAACACTGGTGCATTACTGGCATCATTCTGGAATATAAAAAAAACAGCTTTGCCAAATCTTGTAAGTGACAGTGTGATAGATGTACAAATGAGGCAGTTGTGAGAATTGTAAGAGGCCATTCAGAAAACAAGATCCAAGGACCTATTGATCCACAGATCAAATATGGTGGACCCTACATGAAGGAAGAGCCAACTAATCTGCTGGTTAACCCCCCCCCCCATATACGCGCCATTTAATGGCTCTGAGGTTAAACTGCTAGATGTGTGTGTGTGACATAAAATTTGTGTAACATTAAGTTGGTGTAGAAGTATGATAGCAGTGACATATGGATGTTGTGACGGTGTATTGGTTGCTTTGACAGTGTTAGATGTGACAGCGTGTTAGCTGTGACAGTGTGTTGGATGTGACAATGTGTTGGATGTGACAATGTGTTGGATGTGACAGTGTGTTGGGTGTGACAGTGTGTTTGTTGTGACAGTGTGTTAGATGTGACAGTGTGTTGGGTGTGACAATGTGTTGGATGTGACTGTGTTGGGTGTGACAGTGTGTTGGATGTGACTGTGTTGGGTGTGACAGTGTGTTGGGTGTGACAATGTGTTGGATGTGACAGTGTATTACATGTGACAGTGTGTTGGATGTGACAGTGTGTTAGATGTGACAGTGTATTACATGTGACAGTGTGTTGGGTGTGACAGTGTGTTGAATGTGACAGTGTGTTAGATGTGACAGTGTGAAAGTTGTGAA